TGTTTTTTAGAGTGCAGTGCTCATATTTCTTAACCATTGACCTGGCCCCTCTTCCTTTGTCCTCCAAGTAAGGATGAGAAATCTCAGGGTGAGAGCACTGTCTTGAAAGAATTCTCTCTCTCTCTCTCATATATTTATACTGTTTGCTGCCAGCCCTTCCTGCTGCTGCTGACTTCTGTGGTGGCTCTATTTTCTTAATAGTAACTGAATAAGTTACTACAGGATTGATGCTTTGAGGCTTTCACCTCAAAGGGGCCTGATATATTTTCTGTAAAAACAGTCACAATCACCTTCCTCGTTTTACTCTAAATGGCTGAAGCTGGATTCAGTGACCTCTCTTGGTCTCCTCTAAGAGGAATGTGGGCTGCATGATTAGGAAATCATGCACATGCACATTTGTGATACCTTCTGAACAGAACATGAATGTGGATCATGCAGTTTCCTTTCAGACATTCTGCAACCAGGGCTTGAGAGAGGGCAGGGGATGTAATCCTCTCCTCTCTATTAGCAGTATGAGCAGTATAGACAAATCATTCTTAATTCAAAGTATTGGCAGTGGCAGGCATAAAGTCTGTCATACAGTAAAGAGAGAGACCAAATATAGCTTGAAAGTGATGTAGTTTGCATTCTCCCACTCATCTGGGTTTCCTCACCTGGTATCTGCAGATTAAATGGAGTGCCTCCTTTCGAATCCACCTGGGTAAAGTCACTCCCTGTATTGTTGGGGTTGTGCTGCCTCATATCATTTGGGGTAAATATTTGGACTCTCTTTCTCTTTCTCTCTCCTTCCCAGAAATGTCAACATGGGCCCAACCTGTTTCACTAGGGTGGTTGAACCGAAATGTGGCCTGCTGACACAGGACCTGAGGACTGCAGCCCATTTCTTCCTCAGTCTTTGAGCCTAACAAAAAAGCAGAGGAGAAGGTGATGGCTCACCATAATGTCAGCTTCCAGCCCGAGAACTCGTCCCAACAGCCGGAGCCAAAGGAAGAAGCAGGGAACAGTGAGCCCAGTGCCCTGGACTGCGTCATCTGCTTCACCCCTTACGATCGTCTCTTCAAACTGCCAAAAGAACTGAGCTGCGGCCACATTTTCTGCCTAGAGTGCCTGGCCCGTATCAACGTCTCTTCCGAGGATGTCAACTCAGTCACCTGCCCGGTTTGCCGAGCGCCAACCACCTTGCCTTCCCGCAAAGGGCTGCCGGGCATCTCCACCCGCCATGACCTCCTGGACCAGCTCCCCTCAGCCCCTGCTCCGCCTGGCTCTGTGCGCTTTGACCGCCGACGTGGGCTGCTCTATCTCCCTGGGGGCAACAGGAGCCGTTCGCAGACTGGACCCAAGCCTGGGGCCGATGCCCTCAACACCATCAGCCTGAGTGTCGATGTGGGGCGACCTGCCCCACAAGGAGCAAACCGAATCCTGGGCCTCTCTGGCTGGCCATTCTACGTGGCCCTGGCAGTCGCCTTGCTGGTTACAATTGGCTTAATTATCTGTGGTATTTATATCTTTTTGATGCCGTCCATGTATACTGTTTCAACGGGAGGGCCCCTCCAAGCAAATCACAGCTTTGGCCCCGAAGTAAACCAGTCATATCCAACTAACCTCTCTTCACCCTAGAATGAAAATGTGAGATCTAAATCGTGACTGTTCTTCTTTTTTTCCATTTGTTGTGACTGTACCAACTGTGAATTTTGGGCAGAATGGACACTGTCATGTCTCATTCAGCCACAGCAAGCTAAGGGAACAGGGAGGGCAGGGAGAGAATCCAATTCCCCCACTCCATGGTCTTGTTGAATTGACACACTTATCTGTGGAGGCAGTTGAACTAGCACTTTATGGTGAGTTGCTGCTTGAATGACCACAGGAAGTCCCAGCCACAGACATCCGGGTCCATTATCATCTCTAGATAACATCACACAAACCTGTTATGCTTTAATAATTAATGTATTGCATCAGAAGCAGGATGGTGGAAAAGAGAACTTGTTACCCTTTCTCAGCACACAGTAAAAGAAAGCTTCCAATCCACCCGAGCCATTGACTTCATCTGCTCCAATGGCAGGCAACTCAGGATCCTCTGAAAGTTGCTGAACTGCAACTCCTATCAGCCCTAGTCAGCATAGCCAGTGATGAGGAATGCTGGGAGCTGTGATTGGACAGTAGTTGGAGGGCCTTAACCTGCCTACTCCTGGGGCCCTTTCACACTAGTACAAGATTATAGCACTGTGATTCCACTTTAATTACCATGGCTGCATCCTATGGAATCCTGGGATTTGTAGTTTGGTGAGACATTAGAGGAATGCTCTGGCTGATCAGTAAATACCCCTCCCTAAACTGCAAATACGAGGATCCCATGGGATGGAAGCATGCCAGGTAGAGTGAAACCATAATGCTATAAATGTGTAGTGCCAAAGGGCCCCTCGTCTGTTCATTGCTGCTGGATGAGATGACTGAGCTTGAGGGTTATAGAATGCATGCCTTTTCTGATGGGGCAGGGAGGGTTGTAAACCTAAATTCTCCTCTATTTGAAAAATAAAACCTTTTCCTTTTTTGCATTCAGCCAGCACGAGCAGGGAATAGACTGAGGCAGAACCTTTTCTCTCTGATGGGTTTGGGTATCTTGATTTTGTTTCAACAGTGGGCACCTGGGTTCATTGGAAAATCACTGAAAGTTATCCATTCCTGGTCTAAACTTTGAAATGGAACAGTCTCTTCTTATCCCATCAGTCTGATTCATGTTCCCACCATGCAGCATTGGCTTTGTGCTTGGGGAGTACCATGAGCAGAGCCCCTCTAAAGGCTGCTCCCCTTTCCTTCTGCACCTCTGGCAAGAGGGCAAGGGGACTGGAAGATGGCACTGGGCCTACTGAGTCTCCTTGTGTTGGTCACTTGCTCACAAACCCTGGCAAAGGGAGATAAGGAGATTTGAAAGGGGGTTGGGGAATCAGCAAGTGGCAGGTGGGGCCCTTTAAAGAGCTTGGAAATGTTGCTTTAAAAAACAAAAAACTTGTGCTCTGAAGTTTAACTTTTCCAAGCTCTGACATGAGTCTTGGCAGATTCCTGGTGATGGCTGATGGCTGGCCTTTTGATCAGGTCACTGTGCCCACATACCCACAGCTTGGTAGTTTCTCTATTAACATGCACAAAAATAGAAGCCTACGTGATATAAACGACATGCTTTGAACACCAGATCCTCTTGGAACAGGAGCATGCTGCTTGGTGTCTTGGACTACAACTCTCATCAGCCCCAGCCAGCAGGCAATGCATGCTCACGAATGATGGAGGCTGTTGTCCAAAAATTCAGGAGGGTTGTCCATCCCTGGCTTGGTGGAATGCCTGCCTCCTTCCTGGCTCTTGTACCTGAACATGCAAGTAGGACTGCCAACTTTGGTTTCCTAATAGCTTTTGGGTTCAGCAGGCAGAAATTCTATTTTTTTTCTGACATGGAGATGCAGTAATCACTTTAGAGGTCCTACCCGGGATGCAGCTGTTAAAGTATGAGTGCCCTGCTGCAGGAAGGTGAGTGATGGACTAGCTGACTAGGAAAAAAAATGAATTTTTCTGGCTTCCTCTTATGCCTTCAACAGCAGTCTGAAATGCTGAAATCATGGAAAGTGAAAAGCACAGAAGAGATCAATATTATCAGCTGCCAATTCGTGTGGCTCATATTGCTGTAAGAGGTACAGCAGTAGGATCTGTTTCAAAAGCTGACAAGGAAATTGTTTTCCATTTTTGTTTCATGTTACGGTTTCACTCCCCATCCCAACAAATTGTGGCTATGCAGCAGCCAAGATAGTTTCAACCCTACTTAGGCTGTTGGTCTAAATATTAGAAACACTTCATTTTAATACGTTTCTCAAATTGGCATCATGGATAACATTTTTTTTTTTTTTGGAAATGAGCCTGTTTGCAAAAAAAATGTCAGCTATTTAGAACTAAGATTTGTGATAAGAAAGAAACCTGGGATTTTATAAGAATCCCCTCAAAAAGCTTTGATTCCACTATCTGAGCCTGGTATCACAGTCAAGATTTTGTCTGCAAAACCATTGGAGGGAAAAGCCCATTTAGGAAAAACGAAAGAACACATGAAGAACAACTGGTGAACCACTGCTTCTCCTCCCAATTCTCACTAACTTGAACTCTTGAAACAGACTGCTGAAGCCTTATTAAATGTTAAGGCACTTCCCAATCAAATATGGTAACTGTTACCAAGGGGGATGGTTGAAGATTCCCTCCAATACCTTCTATGTTCTTCTTCTCCCTATGTATTTCCTGAAAACAAATACTTTCCCCAGAAAATTACATACATTTTCATAAAAATGTAAAAACCTTCCAAGATTTCAAGTGGGTTAGTTTAAAGACACAACCAAATCATTGAGGATTATATTGGCTAGGAAAGATAGCAGTCAATCCCAACTCTGGGTCCATTAACACTGGAAACTCTTAAACAGGTAAAGGGTTTGTCTACACAGGCCAAATAAAATGGTTTCAGCCTGGCCTTAGGGTGACCAGTCTTCATGACACAGGGACGATATTCTGTCTGGTGTAGATGAGTCCATAGATGAACTTCATGTTGCTTGGAGCTATCTGCTATTTTCATTTTATTAGAGCACTGACGTTCACCAACCATAGTAAAAATCAAAATAGTGCTAGTGGGAAGAGAGAGAGAAAATATTGCCTTAGATGCCAGAGCCCTGGAACATTAACTTTTTTGGACTATGTAGTTTTCAGAATCTCATGGTCAGTGGCATACCCTGGGACAGGCTACATACAGAATTGTAAATCTATACCTAAATTATGTCAGGTAGCTTCACAACAGCCCGCTTTGGAGGGGAGAGCCTTTCTGCTGCAGTTGTTAATGCAACATAAGCAATCTCACCAGTCTACTGCAAATTGCCCAATAATGTGCCAATAGATCATCTGCCTACTTCTACTCTGCAAGGTAAACAGAAGTAAGGTAGCAAATACTTCATAAATTGATGTGTATAAATAACTGCAGGAGAGCCTGTGTGGTGTAATGGTTTGAGTGTTGAACTAGGGTTCTGGAGACCAGGGTTCAGATCCCAGCTTGGACATGTAAACCCACTGCATGACCTTGGGCAAGTCATACTCTCTCAGCTTCAGAGGATAGCAAGGGCAAACTCCTCTGAATAAACTTGCCAAGAAGAAAACTCTGTGATAGGTTTGCGTTAGGGTTGACGTAGCTTGGAGAAGACTTGAATGGGTGTTAAATAGGCGTAATGCTTACTATATGGAGAGCTCTCTCTATGTAAGGAAAGGTTATTTGAAGACACAAAAGAAGGGGAATGGCAGCCAAGGTGAACACAGAGGCCCAGTGGTACACAACCCCTGACTACAGCTTTGTTTACAAAGAGATCTTGTGGACTAACCAAGAGAAAGAAGTTTGCAACAAAAACATTCATCAGGTATACTGGTTTGTTTGTTCCCATACATCAGTGTTGCACCTCCACCTGCCATAGTTCAGATCATCTTTATGGACCAGGGAACAGCCTGGTCTTGCTGTTGCTGAATGAGGCAACTGCCTCAGGTGACAAGATACATTCCCACCTTTCCAGCTGCTTTTAAAATGTCCCCATTTCTCTCTCTTCCCACTTTCCCCCTTTGTCATCAATTGCTACACACTGAGTTCAAAGTGCAGAAGTGGTTTGCACTCAAGGTGGCCAGACATCTGTCTTTTCCAGGACATGTCCTGCATTTCAATCTTTTGTCCAGGAGAAATTCCAAAATGTACTCTATTTTGAGCATGCCTACGAGACATGGATGTACATTTATATTAGTGTTTTTATCCTTTATGTTGTAATGACCTACATTTTACGATGCCTTCTCCTTTGTGGTTAAGACACCTGGTCCCCCTGTTTGCACTTAAGTTATCAGCAAGGAAAGGAGGGACAGAATCCGGTCCATTCCATTAGGCTTAGGCAAATGCAAATTGATGCAGCTTCTCCTAGCTTGTGTGTGCTTCCTCATTAATAACATTTCCCCTCTTGATCATGCTCTGCTGTTGTTTGGCCATATTTGTTCCCATTTTCATCTGTGAAATGTTGGAGGGTAGGCAGTCCAAGCCTTTCTAGCTGAACACTTTACAATCATTATGGTCATTATGGTCCAGCAGCCTTGCCCACTCCGTTCATTTCTTAGTTGTGGCCTATGAGCCTTCCTGCAAAGCCTGTCCTGCACATGGATTCCAGAGCCTCCATTCAGGTCTCTTAACAACTCCAATTAGGCTAAAAAGAAATACTTTTTAGATCTGGAATAACTTCATTGCATTCTCTGGGCATACTTTTCCGCACTAAGGTTGGGCTCAATTAAAAAGAAAAAGAAAAACTCGGTCTGCAAGTTTGTGGCACAATCCAGTTATGATCAGCACTAACTGGCTGGTAAATATAATGTTGCTAAGAAACCTCCCCCCCCCCCCCCGATCAGTTTTTCATGTTAACAATGCAGTTCTGCATTCCAGAGCCCTGGGAAAATAACTTTTTTTGGATTACAATTCCTGGGAACCCCCAGCCCACACACTGGGGGATGCTGGGATCTATAGACCAGAAGATTACATTTCCAAGGGCTGATCTTGTCATTGAGTTTAATGGAGCTCATAAAAATTAGAGTGCAGTTTGAAAGACATTTTAAAAAATATCCAAGGATGCAGTACTATGTATACTTTTACCTGGGAATAAGTTATATGGAGCTCAGTGAGGCTTCTGGGTAGACATCCACAAGACTGCACTGTAAGGCAATGTACTAGTTGGCATCTTGTCTGTTAGTGACAAGCGCAGGTGTGAATCCAAACTCCCTATTTTATGCTCAGCATGGATGGTGGAATTTGGCTACACCATCTACACGTTCTCCCTTCTTTTCCCTTTCCTGATGCCAGAAAGCCTCAACCCCATGGCTAAGGCGATAAATGGGCAGCCAGGAAATGAATTCTTCAGGCCAACAAATGTATACTCCTGGACCTTCAGGGCATTCCAGAGAATGCCTTTGTAGACTCATAGAAGAGTTGGAAGAAGCCACAAGGGCCAAGCAGTCCAACCCCCTGCCACAATCAAAGCACCTCCAAAAGATGGCCATCAAGCCTCTTAAAAAACCTCCAAAGGAGACTCCACCACATTCCGAAACAGATTGTTCCATCGTTGAACAGCTCTTACTGTCAGGACGTCCTTCCTGATCTTTAGGTGAAATCTCTTTCCTTGTAGTTAGAATCAACTGCAGTGTGTTCTAGTCTCTGCAGCAGCAGAAAACAAGCTTGCTCTATTCTGATTATGATATCTCATCAAATATTTGAACATGGCTCTTATATAATGTCCTAATCATCTCTTCCCCAGGCCACATATGCCCATCCCCTAAGCCATTCCTCATAGGGTATGGTTTCCAGCTTGCATTCATTGTTCTGGGTCCTATTCTTTGGTGCAGCAGAAAACAAGCTTGCTCTATCTTCAATATGATACCCCTTCAAATATTTATACAGGGCTATCGTATCACCTTTAACCATCTCTTCTCCAGGCTGAACATACCCAGCTCCCTAAGTCTCTCTTCATAAGGCATGGTTTCCAGACCCTTCACCATTTTGGTGGCCCTCCTCTGGACACTCTCCAGCTTGTCAACATCCTTCTTGAATTTTGGTGTCCAAAACTGGACACTCCTGTTGATGCAGCCTTTTTTGTTTTCCTACAACTGTCGGAAGCACACCCAGCATCTACCTGGCCAACCCACACATAATCCCCCTTACCACTGAATGGCTGTGGCAGGGTATCATGGCATCAGGGAAAGAAAGGTAAGAGCTTGGTGTGTGTGTGAACAATGACACATGTATACATTTGAGGGAGCTTTATGTGTCTTTAGTGCAATGCAGGATCTTGGCCTTTAACAGTTTGTACCTATGAATGTGAAGGGAGAGGTGGGCAAAAGCAACTCCTTTTTGCAAACATCATATGCCCACTTCCACTTTTGCGGAAACTGCATTTTTGCTCTGGTCCCAACTGAAGCACAAAGAGAAAGAATGGCACCCAAATTGAGCAAAGCATATCATTCACAGATGAGTCAAGAATCCACATCTCATATTGTATAATTTTACTTAAGAACATTGGTATGCCGGATGGGGAAATTTTGGCAGGCATCTAGGCTTCCCCTCTGCCTCACTTACTCCCCCTGCCCTGTGGGCAGCCTCCATTACTCCCCACATCTGCTGGGACAATAAAGTGCTCAAAATGGAAAAGTGTGGGGAGGAACTGGCACGGACACATGCATGCACAATGCATACACACATAACACACACGCACATGCGCTACTGAGGCAGCCCAAGGGCTGGTCGTAAGGTAGCTGCTGGCTCTTCTCTCCTGGTCTTCATCAGCATTCTGCCCAATCCTTGCCCTCCCTTGTAGCTCTTGCTCCTTACTTTCCTTGGCAAGACTGAAGCAGGAGGGCAGAACGAGGGAGAGACAAAGGCATTCGTGGCAAGTAGGGTCCTCCTTCTTGACCCATAATCCAAGACAGAAGAGCATCAAGCTCAGGCAGGACAACAATACTTTAAAAACAGCTCCAAGGTGACAATGTCCCTTGGGATGTCTGTGCCTCCCCTGTATCATCTTTAGGAAGGATGCCTTCCTAACACCTTTGTCAGAAAGGAACTGGCACAGTGCTCCTGTCTTTTGTGGCTAATGGCCACCTCTAAAAGAGGTGCCCTGGCCATGTTTTGCCTTCTTCCTGTCTCTAGAAGTACCCTGTATGCCTGGATAAGAGCTTTACACTTACCCATTGTTTTGTGCAGCTGCAAATGTAAGTCTTCCTCTGCCACAGAAAGCTGACTGTCTTTAGACTTTGCCGGTGTATTGCAGTCCAACTTTATATGCAGGTGGCCTCCCTGTAGTGGTACACTTTGCCAGTAGTGAAAAGGAGCACCAAGGGCATAAACATGGAGTCCACATATGATATATGATGTGACTATGTAGGCAATGAGAGTTTCTAATTGAGGTTGCCTGCACTGGCAACCAAAATCACATTGCTGAGGAAGGGGGCTTGTTTTGACATGTTCAATGACAACATACATTTACTCTTGTCTAATTAAATGAACTGTCAGGGGTTACACATTACAGGCTCATTCATACCAAAGTGCTCTGAAGAGCCAACTGTGCATAACAGCACACTTGTGCTACAGGCTTCCTCTGTTCATGAGGAAATGGATCCCTTTAAATACTATTTGTATAGGCAGGCTGCTTTTGAGCTACAGTGCCTGCCTGTTCCAGACAACATGGCTACAGCCAGAAGGAAGAGATTTGTGGTCAATAAGAAGAAAGAGCCACTTGTGAATGACAATGCAGCTGTCAGTAACTCAATACAATTGTTTTGCGACAGCCAAGTGTGTGCAGAATTGGCACAACGGTGCCAAACAGCCTAATAGTAGCTGTCAGTTTCTTCCTCTAGCTCAGCGCACAGGAGGTGAAACTCACAAGAGGCCATTGTTCATCACTTTTAGATTTTCTCTCTCCTTCAGCCACACGGCTACAGCATCCTTCTGCCTGATGAAAGCCCTGTTTCCAACTTTCCTACCCTCCCTAGATAGTAACATTTGAAAAGGAGTCAGGTATGTGTGCACTGGGAAGGTTGGGTGGGGAGGTATCCCTTCACCCCTCTACTTTTAGAATAAGTCTCCACAGAGTTGGCACCTGGATCCCAGGTTCTGGGGACAGGCAGGTGGACAGACACAAAAGGGGTTGATTTTGTTTACAAAGACCAGAGATTATGATTTCTTTGATTAAAAAACAAAAAAGACCATGAAGTCCCCAGCCAACTGTACAAGTCCCAGCCCCACCAGCTCCATGAGCCTCTGCCCACCTGACCTGGGCTGCACAGGGGCCGCCCACCCTCCCCCACAGTGGTGTTTGTGAAGTCCGTCATTTGTAGAGCAAATGGACGCGGCTACCATCACAGTTGTTGCGGCCCAACTTGTCGGCCTGTTCAGCCACAAGGCAGCGGACTAGAGGCAGGCTGGGCTGGTAGAGGTTGGGTGCAGTAGCAGCCGACCCAGAGGCTGAGTTGTTGAAGTGGTTGTCAGCTGCAC